GGCCTTTATTAAGCTTTCACATCAAACGATGCGAGTGAAGTGGAGTATTTCAACAAGAAGTGAAAAATTTGTGGAGATTACTGACATTGATTTTATATCTTCCTACGATGGAACTCATTGTCAGATTACCTCGAACAGTGACATCCAGAATCGTTTATCTCGCAGAGGCATTAATTTTCGTTTCGGATAACAACCGAATTTACTATCTCGTAATAAAACAACAACGCGTTCCTTTATCCCACGTCGCAAACATTCCTATGGTTTGCTAACTCCCGTTTCTCTTCTGTGGGAGTTTATGAAGACTCGCGAAGTATGCCGCGTGCGTGAATCCGATCAAATAGTTTATTCCCTCTCTCCTTCGTCAGACGACCCAACTCGAAACATTCTACAGGATCTGAACTGTATCTTCAAGTCTAGTTTCCTTTTTCGTAATTCGGAGGAGACGAAAAGGGAGTTTCTCGCCTAAAAGAGTGAGTGACTAGTCATGGATGTATCAAGCCGAGCGAAGACAAATGAACCGATGCACCATGTTTAAATTGTATTTTGACATTGACTGCGTTCAAGTATGTTAAAGAGAATGTACTTCATTTCATAGCAATTAGCGCAATTAGATTAGATTTTCCCTTCCAGTAACCACACAACCTTGATTAAGCGGCCACTTGTATTTTCGGCCGGTTTTGCAGGAACCATTGGGGTCAATGACTTAAGTCAAGTTTCACTGTGCATTCTATACGTATCTTAACATACAAGTTATGCAAGACACAAGTCGTCTGAGATTTTATTTATTTTTTCCCATACACTACTAATACATTTACCATACGTTGACTACGTGCATCTTTGAGAAGACTAAGTACTTAATTGTTCGGGGTTTATTTAGTGATGTTATTGTGCGAATTGTCAGCTTCATGATTACGCATAAATTCGCACGCAATCTCTATAATTGCATATTCACTTGAATTATTAATAATTTTGGAATACTAATCAGGGTGGCTCACCTAAGAAGTTTTCGTTGAAAATCTCCTGCAGTTCGCAGATACTGAAATGCGTACAAAACGTACGTATACGAGGTGTACATAAGATGACGTTAATATTAAACTACAGCATTCTTAATTTAGGAAATATTGGCACAACTCTTAGTTTTTTAGTGTAACCCATTTATTTCTTAAGCTCGTGACAACGAGCGTAAACACACAAGTTCACAAATATGCATATTACCCAACGTTACTTAATAGTCTTTGGGGCATTTACAATTCTTTTAAGGCTATTGGTTGGAAGCGTTGTAATATTTCAATGTTAGAACTTTGAACTGTTCCCCAAAGTTGTATGCCATATGTTCATACTGGTTTTAATATTGCATTGTACACAATTACTTTGTTTGCGAGGCTTAAAGATGATTTTTTTTCGTAGGAGCCAGTTTTACCTTCTAAGTTTTAGGTCTAATTATTATATTCGTAATATGATTTTTCCATGTGAGTCTTCTGTCCAGAGTAAGTCCAATATATTTTGCAGAGTCGTTTTGAGGAATAGGTTGCAATTCTATTTTTATAGATTGGCATGTTTCGTGCTTCAAACTGAAGGTGACATGGGCAGATTTGTCATTTGTCTTGGGGCGCCAGCGTTTCTATCGCTTGTGGTTGGATAGCAGATGTTCTTGCACGAGACGAGATGGTTCTGCTCGGTATTCGTGACGAGCTAAAATGGCCGTGTCAGGCGTTGGTTGCTGTCCACGTGTTTGGATGCCAGAAGTTGGGATGTCGGCAGTGTATAGTGCGTAGAGGGAAGGTGCAAGCACACTTCCTTGAAGCACTTCTGAATTAATAGGGATAAGTTCTGAAGTTTCACCATTAAATTTCGTTTGAAATTATATTTCTGAGAGTTACGATGTTAGTAAGCCATAGTAAAGATACGGTAGATTTTTCGTAACTTATACAACAAGCCTGGGTGTCAGGCCTTATCGAAAGCCTGGATTACGTCGAGAAATACAGCAGAGCAATATTCTTTATTTCCAAGCGATTCACTAATGTCGTTTACTACACGATGAATTTGTTCGGTAGTCGAATACCGTTGTCTGAATCCAAACTGATGTTGAGATATTTTAGAAGTGGATTCAAATGTGACAGGAGCAATTTTTCAAAAAACGTATGATAATGTTGTAACAATCACAGTTAATATCTCTCTCTCTCTCTCTCTCTCTTCATCTCTTATATATATATATATATATATATATATATATAAATTATATATATATATATAATTAAATATATATATATATAAATAGTATATATATATATATATATATTACAATTTTCTTAAAACTACCGTATTTTTCCTTTTCAGGTGCTATTCGTTTTTAATCAATCTCGCTGATCTATCTCCCCGCAGTTTCATCCCAGACGAATCCGCTCCGTTATGACTAGTTCTCAGAAGAAACCCAAGGGCTTAGAAGTAAGCAGTAGGATCCTTTGTGGCAGAAGCCTAAGGGTCAAAAGGTTACCGGGGAAGAAGCTTTGTGTGAAGCCGGTGTTATTCTAGACGCCTTTGTCGATTTGTCCGCATCGACGTTTCTTCGTCCGTCTCTTCTCATTGGGATTCCTGTCGTTCTGTTGAACTTCAAACACACTCCTAAACTCTGCCAACTCTCGTATTGTCCCGTGGGCGACGCCGCTCTTATCGTGAAATTGCATATTACTGTTGATTTTGTCTTTTTATATTTTATTATTTTGATATTAATTATCATCCTAAATATAGTTTCTTTGAGGCAATGTGTATTACAAGAGCCAATTATTTACCACGCTACTGTACCTCTTTAAACCATAACTGCCCCTAACATGTTCTAATTGTTATTTATCTGGTGATACGATATTGTTGGCATTATATAAACGAAGTTGATTTCTTTTCCAATATATTTATTTTATCGTTAAGCAGCTTTTGAAGGCTTAGCCAACAGTTCTGTCTCGTAGAAGTCAAAAATAATTTTCTGAGCGGTTGTGTATGTATTAGAAAGGGACTGCGAAGTACCAATACGTGCATACATTTAACGCGATGCGTGCCACAAGTGTAAATGAGTTCGGTCCACCTCCGTTGTGAGAATTCGCGCTGTCGGAGCTGGCCTTTCGGTCGACGAGAAGCGCAATCCGCCGCCACCCCCGCTGCAATCGATGGGAAGAGGCCTGTCTGCCCCGCCCCTCTCGAGCTGCCAGCGGGACAAATGGAATGCTTTCTCGCGCCGGGGCTGCAGCCCGTGAACGGAGCGACTTCCCGGGGCGGCCCAGCGCTGCCCGCGCCGTCCACGCCCAGCCGGAAACAAATGCTTTCAGGAGGGGATTTGCTACGGGAGTAGACTACCAACGACGAATTTTATTGCGTTGGATCAATAGACGTCACGTTTTTGAGATTTTTTTTGGTCAGGTTTTCTTCGATGAAGTTCGCAAATTTTAATGTTTATGTTATTGAAGATACGTTTTATCCGAATTCATTGTGAATTGTTCACTATTTTTTTCGACTATCAGCGTAATACCACGTGAGTGAAACTAAAGAGCCTGGATCTGGAGTCGCTCCTGTCTTTTTCGAAAGGGAAAAAAAGAAAGTCCTTTGTGTTTGGCGCCTTGACGTCGTTTTCACGTTCCACATCAAAAATTCTCTCAATCAAAATCACTATTCAAAATTGTGTATAGTTTTTATATTTTACGACTTTACTATACAGAATGCCTCAGAATAAATATTAAAAACTCTTCATGCATGCAAGGGGAGTCGAAAATTGTATGATATGAGAAATTTCATATAACGATGTTTCACATACGGAACTTTCCCCTGATTGGTAGGCAACTCATTAGTATTAATGTTTTGACTGGTCACATTCTAACGCACTTACCTGCGTTGCAAGTTGCCTATCTATCAGGGGCCAATGTCACTTGTAACTTCGCTGTATGAAATTCTTCAATACACATTTTAGCCTCCCTCCCCCATGCTGTAGACGTTTGACATTTATTTTGAGATATGTATTATCCAAACAAGTGTGGGCGCTTTGCAGAAGTAAATATAAGATTCACGGGAATTAGGGAGTGGTTAAAATCATCATACGGTTATGTTTTATATATTCACATACATATTTGAATGTAATCATTTTAAAATGTCAATGCTGAATCAATGAAGTTTCATTAAAATAGATTCTCAAATAATTTGTTTACTTTTGACATTACCTACTCAATGTCATTTGTTGAGTGTTTTATCATTGAACGAGAATTAACTTTTTAGCTAATTAGAGAAAGTCGAATATTTGGTAAATATCTGAAAAATAATAGATTGTGTTGGTAACGAATAAATGGATTGAGTCGCGTTTAATTAAATAACGTTGTTAACGAGAAGTGGAGGCACAGGCATTAGGAATGCACACATGCTGTTGATTTAACATGTATTTGTCATGTAAAAAGTAAGAGTTGTTTCTTGAAGAAACGCTCTTGGAGGTTTGATATGTAACACATTACTTTAAACTGTACTTGTTTTAAAAAAATGTACACGGAGAGTAGAGCCAGACTGCGAGTAGTTCTATATATTTTTACCTTCATAAAATTTGTCAATCATTTCAGTTGTGTTATAAGACATGAATTTTTTTTGTTTATCCGAATTTTAAAGTGAAAACTCTGTTATTTCTTGAATACTCTCTAAACACCTTAGATATTGCGTATTCGTCAGTTTAGAGTTGTACTTAAATGTCCTGTGAATGAAAACTTTTACAGTTTGTATTTATTGAAGAATGATTATTGAATAGCTGGTGGATTGTGAGTTTTAATCTAGATTCGATAAAATAATACTTCGTAAATATTGCATGGCTTGATGTTGGGCTGTCCCATTGCAGGGATATTTCGTTACAAAATTAACATTAAGGTGAAAGTTCATCTAATATTCACTTTGTTCTGTGATGAGAATGTTTTGGATTCTTTCCAACAAAATCTCTGATTGAAACCTAGCGAAACCTTACTAATTTTATCTTTATTTTTCAGGTGCGTTGGCGAACATTATAGCAGTGTAGCAGTGACATTTTGGTTTACTCGTCGACTGTGAGTAAATATCATCAAATTATAATTAAAACCATTGTTCTCTAACTATAATTTGCTGTAATTCCTGCAATATCTTTCAAAAATACACAACAAAGTTGACAGATGTTGGTGTATGTTTGTGGTAAAGAGAATGAATTCATGGATTTTCGGTGTGCCTGTGCACGGTCATTTTGGTTTCTACGTCTTAGGGAATATTGAACTTTCTTTTATTGTAAATATTCATCTGCATTTGTTTATCCCGTTTGAAATGCATTGTTCTTAAAATTATAATGTTAACGTTGCTTGTTTCCGAATTAATTATAGCATTATTTGATACCCATGTTTTTTGTCTCGGTGTTTGTTGCAATCTACTTCTTGAGTTTATTTTGAATTTATTTCATGTAGTAAATTATATTCACGTCAAAACGTCACGTTTTGTAGTCTCGAGTATGCTTAAAACGGTTTCGTTTTATATTATAACATGTCCTGAGTACGATGTAAGGGCAGAAGAAACGTTATCCAGTTGAGGCGGCGAAAACCTGATCTCATTTTTCGTGGTTTCCTTTAACGTAAGTGCTCTTGCTGACGTGTGGCTCGATGCACGCACATGCCTTCGGCAGAACGAAGGCGATTCCTTTCTAAAAGCGCTGACGACGCTCATCGTTATCGTTGTTTATTGGAGGCCGCGCTGGGACGCTGGAAATGCGCGGGCTTCTCCGTGGTTTGTGTTGCATCTCTGCGATGGCAAGATAGTGCTGTTTTGTCGAACGTGTGAAGAAGGAAGAACTCTCAGTTTTATTTTTTAATATTTCACGCTCTTGATCATCGGATTTTAGTTAGTAATTTAAAATGCCTTCATTTTGGAAAGATCGCGGATGAATTTATTTTCTAGAAGTCTGTACATCTAGAAGTAACCAAGTATGTTGTGATTCTTACAATGAAAATTATATACTACAACTTATTATCATTATTTTCTATTTGTGGTTCGTATTGTGCTTAAATACATGTATTAAGAAATTACATCGTAAATAATGATCGGAATTGTGTTGTAATTTGTGTTATAATGATGAAAATCCATCCGTGGAAGACTGTGAATGCACAATTTCTTCTTGATACTTTAATTGGCTTGTTTGTAAAAACAAGTTAAGAACAAATAATTATTAAAAATAAATAATTGGATGATGTTCCGCGTTCTCTTTATAGATTTTTTATTCGTGACGAAATCAATTAATTTTCACGTCCATTTGGTCGAAATTGTACTTGTGTAGCTAACAAATTCATGAAACTCTAAAAAATGGTAACTTTATTTAAATTTGATCTTAGATGTTTTATTTAGATAATAAAATTCATTAGTATTACTTTTTTCTTATTGGTTGACATTTTTTCCTTAACTTGGAAGACGTTCTATAACCTTTCGGTTAGTATCGATTTCCTTCCTTCCTGCTTTTTACTAGTTTTCTTTTCCGTGCAACTTGTAACTTTCCACACATATAAATATTATTTGAAATGGGTTGATAGCAGCGATTACAATATCCTACGACTACGTTTATTAGATCGGAGTGCTTGTATGCAACACATTTAAGTCGGCATACGTGGACGAATGTTAGAGCAGCAGTGGAGACGAGGACGGATCCACAAGGGGTTGGCCGGCGCGGCCGCAGCGGCTGGGACGGGACGGGATGGGGTTGGCGGTGCTAGTCGTTCATTTCTATGCAGATTAACTGATTGTCTGCGGTGCCGCCGTCTTTCTCGCGCTGCCTGACAAATTGTTTCGCTAATTGTTTTCGCGCCTGCGGCATCGTTCGACGGCCGTCGCCGTCCCCCGTCACCAGTTCCTGCGCTGCAGCATCCCTCTCCACCGTCAGAGACGGCCTGTCTTTCTCAAAGGAATGCCACGTTATTGAAATGAAATGAAGCAACTGTAATGACCAATGGTCTGATAAAATCGTGGGAAAGTAAATAATTTGATATTGCTGTTTGGAAATGTGGTAGGTTCCCAGGGCATAACTTTTTACTTGTTCGTTGTATATCGTAGAAAACTATAACCATTTTCGGTTTCTTTTTATGTATTTTGTATTATATTTTCAAGAAATAATAGTTTATTAGTCGGGAGTACTAACAATGCTTGCAGTAATACAAAAATTGTTTTTATAAAGGGAGGTTTCAAATAGTATCACACATTGTTCATGCTAAGCACATGTTTTACTGGATGTTTTATTGGATACATTCCTGTTACGGTACTTCAAGATGGTGTGCTATGATTTAATGCAAACCATCAGCCTCAACACTGTGTGTTTCTATAATTATTTAACTCTCTATGATAATTATCAATTGAGTGAACATGTGTATACTTTTCTCTCTCTCTCTCCTCTCTCTCTCCCTCTCTCTCCCTCTCTCTCTCTCTCTCGCCTGCTCTCCGCCTCTCTTCTCCCTCCTCTCCTCTTCTCCTCGTCCTCGCTCTGCCTCTCTCTCCTCTCTCTCCCGCTCTCTAATCCTCCTCTCTCTCCCTCTCTCTTCCCTCTCCTCTCCCTCTCTCTCACTCTCTCCTCCCTCTCCCTCGCCTTCTCTCCCCCTCTCTTTCCTGCTCCCCTTCTCTCTCCATCCTCTCTTCCTCCCTCTCTCCCTCCCTCTCTTCTCTCGCTCTCTCCTCTCTCTCTCGCCCTATCTTCCCCCTCTCTCCGTCTCAGAATCTCCCTCTCTCTCCCTTCTCCCCGCCTCTCTCTTGTAACATACACACATATATACACACATACGCGCACACAGTTTTAAGATGAATTGAAGTCTGTCACTTTGCTTACACAAGTACATAAGTTCTGCCAGAATCCCGCCTCATTTCCCGCATCTGAGCAGATACCCTTCACACGTCACACTGGGTTTCATTTTCTATCCACTTTGTCCCTTCCTATGCCTCATCTTCACCATCTTGCCGGTTCCCACGCTGCCCCCCCCCTCCACCATTCCCGTGCCGTGCTGCGCGCGCTGCCACATCTCCCGCCCTTTTCGTCACGCGACGGAAGATTGCACGCCACTCCGTCTACTCCTCCGCCCCCTTAGCGGGGTTCATCTGCACTCGGCGCCGGAAGTCACCTGGGGGTTTCCCTCCCTCTCCACGAGCGAATGAGGGGGGAATGCTGGAGCCTCCGTTCTGCGGGGGCGTTTGCGTTGGGAGGATGACGTGCGCGAAGCGAGGCTTCTAAACGAATTTCTCGGCGCAGATCTCTTCCCGGGGCACGTCTGCGCAGTGACGCCACGTGGGGATTTTGATTTGGCGAGTCCTTTAGAGGTAGTTGAGTGTAGGCGGAGATGACTCCAATGTACGATTGTGATTAAATCTACTGTTGGTATCCGATTACGTGGAGGGAGCTGCAGTCTTATTGAAGGTCTTGTCGCTCTCATATCTTTTGAACCAACCAATATATATTGATGATCGATGAAAACAACTTTGTTTTCAGCTATTTACAGAATGATTGGTGAAAAATTATTTAGTTTCAAAAAATAATATAGAGGACATTAACAACGTTCAGTATTCGTGTGTATTGGTTTAGTTTTTTTTCACTTTTATTGGGTGTATGAATTGTCTTTCATACTGCAGTGTGCACGGGTAAACAAAATATTATATCAAATGGTTTTGGGTTATTAGTGATTTCGCTTGAGTAGCATCGAATATGGCACAAGAAGTTATGGCAAACTCTGTGGTCATAAATGCGAAGATCGATTTCTGAACGTACAGTGAGATTTTTGTAGTTTTAATTCAACGGTTAATCTTATGTTCTTGTGGAGTTGAAAATTGATCCTTTGTGACATTAATGTCGATCTTAATTATTATCGTATTCCACTTGTTTGCAATGTTTCTATGTGCTGAAGTTTTGAAGTGAAGAACTTGTGTTTAATAAATATCTCCCCATATAAACACTAGCGTTTGCTTGTGTTTGTGGGAGCTTTAAGTCGCCATCTTCTCAATATCATTATATAAATTCGAGCATAATGCAAAAGTGCAACTTACATTGTCAACGTCTACATGTGTATACATAGTGTTTATTGAGAGTGTATCCTTGTTCTTTATTCTCATGTATCACATCCCCTTGTACCCTATCTCCAGTATCCAGTTTTTGAAATTAATAACTAAAATTACCTGTCGTAATATTAATTTTGATCAAATTTATAGTTCACATATTGGTAAAATAATGAGAATTTTAGAAATGTTTGGATAATTAAGAAGGTTAAAGAATTCTCATTATCTCATTCTCTTTTGTCATACTGCGAAATTGAGACGTTCTATTTTAAGGATTGTTAGACTGCGACATCGCTTAGAAACAAAGTTATTATTATTATTATTATTATTATTATTATTATTATTATTATTATTTATATTTCTACTACTATTATTATTGTAATGTCTTTATTAACAGCGTGTTACAAGTAATTGGGCCTACTCTTCTACCTAACCACTTGGTTGAATATACATTTATACCGAGTTGACATATTTAATAAGAGGGACAAGCTGTACATTTTCTACTGGGAGTGCAAAGCAAGGGAGCATCCCGCCGTATGTCTTGAGCGATTTACAGATGTAAATAAAATTCGTAAAAAGTCAGAGCCAGTGAGTTAACAATGAACAGTTAAGATATTAACGTTAAATCGTGAAAACAGGTTACTAGTTCTTCTTTGTTGTTACAAGATGTTTTGTGAATATTCAAAAATCAGTACAGGTCAGCTGTGTGACGGTTTAATCTCAATCTAAATGTGATTATTCTCAATTTGATTGTTCTAAGTCTAAATTTCAATTTTATTTGTGTTTTGTCGTATGTCCCTTAGAGTGCAATTTACTCGGCGCTGTTGGATCTCCGGATTCCTAGTCTGTCACCCAATCAGAAACCCACGATGTCTCGAATTCGCTTAACCTTCGTAACTTAACGTAGTCAACGAATACGGCTAGCGACGCTGTGTCGCGGTCGTGGCCTTTTACTAGAACCATCCCAGCATTCGCATGGATGACGGAGGGAAAACGAAAACCTAGTGAG